TGGCCATAAAAAGGAATGAAGTACCGATTCATGCTACAACGTAAATGAGCCTTGAAAACCTTCTGCTAAATGAATAAGCCTGACATAAAAGGACAAACACTGTCCTTTTAGGTGAAGGGCATATTAAGTGTTCATTGTACTACTCTTGCAACTTTTCTGAAGGTTTGAAGTCTTTCCAAATAAAAACGTATTATATATCACGAATATAAAATAATAAAAATAATCCCTCATGGAGGGTTTTAATTAACACATTAACTACCACGTGAGTTGTATTGAACTCCTGCTAGTTTTAAGCCCAGGGCCTTGTGAGGCATATGTAACTCACATGTCTCTCCACCTTGGGAGCCACAAGAACTATTCTGCAAATGCATATAACTCATGCACAGAAAACAATAAAAAATAAATTTTTCATTAAATTAGAAAGGATCATTTTGTTTTCAAAGTTTTTATTCTATTTTCATAATAAAACACTGTGGCTCCAAGGAAAAAAAATTTTTCTAGTGTGGCAGTCAATGGGTTAAATGTAGAAATGGGTATAAAGCTCCTGGTACAAGGCCTTGCGTATCCACCAACGGTCACTGCTGTCACTGCCGCTCAGAGGAGTGGTGCCAATGCTGGCAAGAACCACAGGATGAAGCATGCGTCATCGCTGGCTCTACTTTATTCATCCAACAAACATTAATAAATGCATGGTCTATGACAAGCATTGTGCTTGGCACAGTGACTATAAAAATGACTAAGATACAGTCCCTGCTCTGGAATATGCATGAATTACCAAACTTTCCTATTAAAAATGCATCACTTTAATATTCATCTCAGCTTTAAGGTAACCCCTAAGGTAAACAGTTTAGAATTTCTAAAAGCAATACGTGTCTGTGATATGCTCTGTTTACGCATTTATTTACATTCTGCCTCATTCTAAAAAAGCACCTAAAATCAATTTTTTAAACACATACAATTTAACAACAAAAAGATAAAAATCAGGGTGAAGAGAAAATGAGGACTGTAATTAAATGAAACCTGGGGAAGGTCAAATCACAAAAACGTATGCCATGAAGTAGGTGTAATTATTAAGGGTAGACCACAGATTCAGCTCTAAGGTTCCTAACAGCTAAAACAAAAAGAAAAAGATGGTAAGCTACAAGGTTCACAACGCCCGTGAACCAATTCCTGGCATGGCCCCACGTGGGAAATTCTGAAGCATTATTCTTATTATTGAGCATTATTCTTCCCTGTGTTACACATGACAACACCACAGCACATGTATGTGGCTCATTCTCCAGTCTCTGGCTTTTCCTATTAGCCCCCTCCCTCTTTCATCCCTTTAGTGGGCTTCAAATGGAGATGTGAAACTCCCACCTAAGGATCAGGTCAAAGACTCCCACATCTTTGCAGGCAGCTTCTCATCTAAAGCCCAGCTGGGTATCACAGGCCCACCTGGTCTACTCATTTCTCTGCAGCTTTGACTCACTCAAGAGATTTCTTTATATGCCTGTTTCCCACAAAACTCCTCTCTCCTAAAGACAAGGTGGCATGCCATATCCCAGACTCTTGTTCAACCAGAAATGTCTCAGTTCCTTCTCTCTCCTTTTCCTTCTCCAATAAGGAGCTTGACTTTCCTCCTTCCCCATCCAGCGGTTTCTTTGTGAGAACCATGAATTCCCCACAAACCATCTCTGAAAGCCAAGCACCCTGCTGTCAAGACTGAATTGTTTCAGCCTTAGCTAAGCTGCATTCTTACTACTTTGCCCCTTCTATGTTAAAAAGCCTTTCCTGAATCTCCCCATCCCTCTGATTTTGAGCTTAAATTGACATAAAGTTCTGAGAATGTAATTATTATGTGCATATCTCCCAGGTTTTTGCTTGGTTTCCTTAGCAACAGCTTCATTAAGGAAATGCATCAAAAATTTTAAAGAGGCTATTCTTACATCTGAACGAATAGCCTGCATAAAATTTAAACGGCTTTGAAGAGAAAATTAACCAGGGACAAAGAGGTTGCAGGTCTTAGTCAATAGTATCATAAGACAAAATGTACTCAAATGGCTCAGAATCATTCCTGAACATTAGGTTTATAGGAAGCAAAGGGTATTGGATTGACTATACATTGAACCTAGAGTATGTTCTCAAGTCTGGTATGGTCAGATTTTTTTTCTAGTTTTTCAAACAATTCCTTACTACCACTTTCTCTTACTATCAATTGCCATTTTCTACTAAGAATTAAAAAAATTAATTTCAATAATTTGGGTTGTTTGGGGGAAGCTACATGATTCAATTCATAGAGCTTGGATTTTAGAATCAAAACAAACTAGGTTTAAACAACCAACAATGGTATTTATGAGATAATCCTGGGTATCCAGCAAACTCTCCTGTCTCATCTCTAAAATTTCTCATCTCCAAAACTGGGCACAATAAACTGCTTAGCAAAGTTGTCACAATGATTATGGCCAATATCTGCAAAGCACCTAGTTAAATGCCTGCAAGGAGCTGGCTGCTTAATTAGTATTACGAGTAAGTTTCATTTTATTTGGTAATGAAGAGGCTTTGCCTTTTTGTCATCTTTGTGTGGTAACAGAACTTACTTTACTGAGATTATACCACTAGAGCAGCCTCAGCTAGAAAATTCCCCGGGTCTACATGGCAGGGCATGTTCTTTTCCTTTGTAGAATTGATCAAATTTGTAATTACCTATTTTTATGTTTATCTGTTCAGTACCTGTTCCCCGCTCTAGACTTAAGTTCAGTAAGTGCAGGACCATGTCTGTTTTGTTGCCCACTGCATATTCAAGGCTAGCAGACAGCCCCACACAGTGCCTCAGGCCTGGCCTCGGTGTGGAACATGACTGAAGGAAAGAGAGATCAAGCACACTTCCCAAAGACCCCTTCCCCTCTGAAATTATGGTCTGACTCTGGACAAGTTACACAGCCTTTCTTTAGCCTGGAGTTCCTTCTCTGTATATAAGAATAACTGCAGTTGGAACACAGAATTATAAGGATTAAAGGAAATAGCCCAAATTCACAGCCTAGTAAAGTGTTGGTTAATGGGACCTCAACAAACAGGAGCTGCCTTTATTCCTTTGATACATTACCAATGAGGCAAACACATCTACTGAATGCTTTGTATGTGCCCAGCAGTGTGTTTAGCACTTTATATGCATTATTGTGCCATTTACAACTTAAAACAACTCTAGAAGTGAAAATCATCATTCCCATTTCACAGATTTAGAAACAGGCTAATGAGGTTAGATAACTATTCCAAATCACACAGGGAGGAAATGGTGACTCAAACCTCAATCTGGGGTGCCAAAGTCCATGCTCCTTCCATGGCCCTCTCCCTCACCATGTGCCTGTAAAATCTACATGTGCAATACACAAATTCATAGAAAGCCAGTTATTAAATGAAATGTGTGCTGCCATTTGTTAATCATAGATAATTATCATAAATTACTCACTAAAACAACTAAAGAAAAGACGGGCCAATCTGTGTCCCTGAACACAAAGAGGGGAATTCTGCACTGAATTCTATAAAGTGAAGAAACCCTTTCCAATACCACTAAATCCAAATGTATTATTTATCAGTTTTTATGTGTGCACAGGGATTCTTAAAGCAGAAGGAACCTGCAATAATCATATCTCAGCTCCTTTCAAAATTTCCATATTAGCCAAAATCATTTCCAGGAACAGATATAACACATCAATTCTACAATAGAACACACTTGATCAAGAACCAAAGGCTGGTTCTATTTCAGAAAAACTACAGGCCCTTCTTTTTTATTGTTATTATAAAATCCCACCAGAACTCATTATTTTGCTGCCTGCTCATCTGGCAAACAAACATGGAGATGAGTCAACAAAAGCAAAGGATCGTGTTGGGGAAACTCAAAAGGCCAGGCAGCCACGTCTGCACCATCCCCGCCGTGGTGTTTCTGGCATGTCTTTGCTGACCTCTAGTGGTCCATGTGGAAGACTAAGCAAACAGCAAAAGAAGGACTGTTCCAAACTGCAACAAATTCCCACAGATTTTAAGTGAAAACATTTTATTTTATAAAATATGTGTATTTATATACCCACCTGTGAAACAGCTTTGCAGCAAGCCCAAATTTTCAACATTAACATGCAAAGGCAACTCCAGTCATTAAGGGCAAGTAAGTCTCAAAGTCCTCCCTGCACCAGCTGCCAACCAAACTGTCTGCAATTCTGTAGCTTCAGGCCTTTTAAGGATCCACTTGAAAAGCACGATCCATTTTCTGCTCTGTCACAAAGGCGTCCCTCTAAGCCCTACAACTTGATAATAGTCCTTGCCCATCGCAGTCACTCATAGGACAGGCACTAAAAACAGAACTGGACGTGAAGTATCTCATCTAAACAAGTCCTTCTAAACACCGTTATCAGTTTGTCATTCTACCACTTCACAGAGAATGATATGCGGAATCGGACACACCAAGTGCTTTTGCTCAGGGTTATGCAGCTAAAAGGTGGCAGAGGTGGGCTTCGAAGCCAAGCCCATGGGACTGCTCTCCATCTTGGATTCCACAAGGAGTCTCTCTTGCCTACCTGGTTAGGTCCAGCATTCTTTACTTTTATGTATGATCTTCAACAGGTCCTGACCCAACCTGCCTTTGAAGCATCTTTCCCCTCACTGTCCCTCACAAACAAAACCACTCTGGCCCCAGAATTACTTCTGGCTCCCCAGACACTCAGTGCTTAGCCCCACCACACATTTGCACCCCAGCCCCTCAAAGCTGCAAAGCTAATAAGAGGCTAAGTTATTTCTCCCAATCAAAAAAATGTTAAAGAACAGCAAATTCTCAATTTTGAAAGTAAAATACCACAAAATAAAGAAGTAAAACATACAAATAACCACATTAACAAGGATATCGAGTTAAGACTCCAGTTTTTACCATGCCATACTGAATCCTAGCATAGCAAAATAAGCTGATCACTAGTGAATGAATTTGACAAGACTGTATTAACTCTTCCACTTAGAGGCAGGCATATACTCACCTGTCGAAGATTAATGTAAACTGCATTCTGAAGAAACTCTGAGGCTTCCATGCTCCGCTTCTGAATCGCAAGGACACGTACCGCTTTGACACACGCTTCCAATTCAATCACGCCAGCATTCTTATACTGTAGGATATAAAAGAAGAACCTCAGTCAAAAAAGAAGAGTGAAGATGTTTCTGTCATATTCTGAAGGCTGCACCACTGGGACTCAATAACTCTGCAACAGCAATTCCCCAAGTACAAGGCTTCTCATAACCCAACCCCACCCCAAGAGATGAGAATTTGTCTTTGATAAAGTCTGTCATTCATGGGGGCAAAAGAATGGGACTGAGTGAACCCACAAAAATATGTATGCATTCATTAAAATGACACAATCACAATAGCTTGCTATTTTGCAAAATTTCAAAATATTATCAACAGATACTTTGCTATTCATTTCCGCTTATCATCCCTTGTAGTACTCTAAAATATTTTTAGAATCTCTCACACCTGCAGCTTTAATGAAGTAGTTGTAAATGCATTTTACTTTGTTGCAAAAATTTTGGCTCCCTGAATGTTCAATGTCTTTCTGCTTTTCTATCTCAGAGTTGCTCGTTCCTATTTCTCAGATCTTATTATGGTTCCTAAGATAAAGACCAAACAAAGGTATTTGGAACAGAAAAGGCTTTGTAGAACTTCATTTAACCACTCAATAAACTGGGGAGTATGTCTCAAACCTCACCCCCAATTCTCCTAACTTCAAGCCAGGAGCCACCCCCAGCCACACTGGGTGGCTCCAGACCCAGAGCAGGTGAAAGAGCCGGGTTCCCGCACCCAGCCCCACCTCCCTGTCTCCTCTCTCCCAAGCCTCTACTGTAAAATCCCCCATGCTATCTGTTCTTCTGACTTTTTTCTTCTCTGTTCCAAACACTTTTTTTTTTCATAATTATCCTGGCTGGAGTGATTTTCAATTCATGTAATTGAAACAATATTCTTAAAATTAAAGAAAATGTTTACAGAGGTTAAGTCCATGTGTACTAGTACCTAAAGAGAACCTGAGGTTTTGGAGGGACAACACACTAATACTCTTTTCTGAAGGCATCAACACATATAAAAATCAATGCATTTAATCAATAATAATTTACTGAGACCACTATAGGCCTGGCCTGGCACAGCTGCCCATGAAGATGCAGTCTGCCTATTTACCAGTCATCAAGGAGCAAAGGTGTGACTGGTCACCTGTCTTACTAATGTATGTATACATTCCTTCCCCTTTTCTACACATGTAACAAGCACATAATCTGTGATCTATTACAATTTATCAAAGATGATCAGAAAAAGAAATTATACTTACCTAAATACCAACATTGAAGTCAGAAATCTATCAATTTTATGTACCATTTAACAATACAACAAAAAAAACTAACATAAGGATTTGATTCTATTGAAAGAAAATGATTACCTTTCCTTCAAAACTCTTAAAACAGTTTCTACTGAAGTGAGAATAAAGGTCAACAAAGGTTTTTTCCACGTATTTTTGGATAAATGTATATATTTTCATTTATATTATGAAGAAGTTTAAAATGAAATCAAGAAAAATTATTCTTGTATTAGTAGAAAGACACCCACAATCAATGGGGATTAGGGAAAAATGGCCATTTGCTAAAAATCTACGACATACTTAGCCTTCTACAGGCATTACCCTGGAACACAAGCTCTGGGAAGCGTGGGGCTGGGCCCCTGTTCTCGCTGCTCAGTCCCTAGTAACTACCGACCAATGGCCCAGCATAGAACCATGCAATCAATACTTTAGGAATAAATGAGGGAATTATCTCATTCAATTGTAAAACAAAAACCCCAAAGTAAATATTATCCTTAGTTACAGATAAAGAAAATGGGATCCCAAAAAGTAAAGTTTCTTGCCCAAGGTCACAAAGCTAGTAACTGGTGAAGGCTAGATTTGAACTCAAGTCAGCCTGACTCCAAAGCTAAAGTGGAAATGGGAGAAGGTTCAGCATACAGACTATTGTCCTCACTTTGTTCAAGGCTAGCCTTATCTAGTCTTAGACAGCACCCACACAGAGGGGACTGGAGGGCAAACTATAACAACAAGGGTTTTGTGTCCATAGTTTCTCTCTAGGAAATGTGAATGGATCCAGTGCTTCCTGTTGATTAGAAACTCAGTTGATTGGGAGAGAATGGCCTTCTCTGGAGAGGCCGCCATGGCCATAAACTAATGGCAGGTGAGTGCTAAAAACTCTACCAAGACACTGGAAGTCAAGAGAGGAGGGTTCTCTGTCCTCCCAGACCACTGTCTTGTTAGCTACATGTACAAGATGACATAAGACCTAGGCTCTAGTTCAAATCAGGTCATTGAGTGACTCTGATCATGACACTTAAGCCCTGGGCTTCAGTTTCTTTATACGTATAGAATGGCATAAAGCTATATGCCATCTAAGGTTCCTTTCAACTCAAAATACAATAACACCAATATCTCAGAAGAATGTCTAGGGGCTCCATTTCATCTCTTCTAATAGAGAGAATTTCCTTGGCCAAAAATCAGAAATCCAATAAAAAATTGTTCAATCATTCATGAAGCCAGGCAAGAATTTGCTTAAGAGACTTCGTTATCAGTCTCAATGAATGAAAACCAAAAGGTGGTGCTTCTCACTCATAAAGTAGGTGGCTGTGTGTGTGTTTGTGTGTGTGTGTGTGTGTGTGTGTGTATACAAATCCAATACAATCAAATCTCTGAAGTGTACAAATGTTTTTTGTATCATTACCATCATGATGATGGTCCAACTTTGAAAGTAATTTCAATTTAAGTGTTGTAGGTAGCACGGGAAAGTCTCAGACTCTTGGTGGAGGAGGTAAAAGAGGAAAGAAAAGAAGAAAAGAGCTAAATGAAGAAAAGGAATAAAAATACAGCCATAGAATAGCAAGATATTAATTTTGTTTTTCTACTTGTGTCATAGACATATTAGGAACTGGTTTTTCTCCCAGATGTCTTATAGAATACTGAACTAAAGAAGAGATGATGACCACCGATTGTTTCTTGAGCAATACTAATGAACCTGTTTCTGTGGCTAGGACATATATACATACATACATATATATATATATATATATATATATATATATATATATAATTTACCCTAATTAAACACTCAATGCAGTAAGCCTTCATTTCCTCATTTTGAGAGATGAGAAAACTGGAACTCAAAGAGGTCATATAATTTGACTGACTAAAGCCAGATGGCCAGTAAACAGGAGAGGAGAGAGTCACACTCGGTTGTCTGACTTTGCAGTCTGCTCTTCCCACTCCTAGGACACAGGCCGCCTACCGTGCCCATGGCAGACAAGTCCTTCCCACAGAGACGAAGCCTCGCATTCGTGTTGATGTGGCACTCTACACAGCCCTGATACCCAGTCAGGCTTGGCCAGTGAAGTGGCATCTGCCTGTCATGCAGGTAGGCCTACCCACGACAGCAGGGGTCCTCTCCTGCTGTTGGGGTCCTCACTGGGCCTACCTGGCTCTTTCAGGGGCACTTCTCTGCTTCTCTAGTCCAAAGGCAGCCACTAATCTACTAAAAGTACTTACACAAGCCACATCATCTCTCTCCATCTGTCTCCCCAACTACGGAATTTAGTTATTACCATTTTGATACTCTTGGAAACAAATTTTTTTAAATGGACAAGAAAGGGCTCTGGAAAAAGTACTTATGATTGTTAAATGGCTGCTTACAAAATGAATATCAAAAAATCAATGTAACTTCATATATATAAGCTTTAACAGAAAATATAATGACAAAAAATCTCATTCACAAAATTAACAAAAACATATAAAAATTAAGAATAAACTTCAAAGCAATGCTTATGTTCTATATAAAGAAAACTATAACACTGTATGGAGGGACTTAAAATAAGATGTATAATTATAGAGACATTAACATATTCTATAGAGGAAAGCAATATTGTAAATGTAGAAGCTCTCCCAAAAATAATTTAAAACTTACTGCAAGCCCCATCAAAACTGCAATCTGATTTTCTTCAACTTTAACAGATTATTTTAGAATTCCTCAGGAATACTAAATTCATCATACTAGCTACAAAAATTTGGGATGGGAGGAAAGAATTAAGAAAAAGACTCACACCATTAGATATCAAGTAAACTACAATAGATAAAATATCATGGTGCTGGAGTAAAAAAAGATTAGTATTATAGAAAGGAATAAAAGTTCAGAAATAGACACGAGTAGTAAAGGCAAGAATTCAAATCAAAGAAAAAATATGAATTAAATAAACTGTGGTGAGACAATTAGATAATCACCTGGGGAAAATCATAGTCTTATGTCATAAAACACACAAAATAAATTATAGATAATATAAATACTAAAAAGTACTAATGATAGACAATACAAATCTTCTGCATATGTTATCTCAGCTGACCCTGATTACAAATCTGTGAGATGATGGGTACTTATCATCATCCCCATTTTAGAGGTAAAAAACTGGGAAAAGAGTTTTATTCCACTGTTAAGGAAGTATTTCCAAGCAGAATACCAAAGATAAGACCCATAAGGATAGGATTTACTACATTAAAAATAGATTTTGACCAAACCAAAAAGAAAAACCTCATAAACAAAATAAAAAGGCAAATAACATTAAGAAAAAGATTTGTAATATCTATGATACACAAGAAGTTAATATTCATAATACATAAAGAGCTATCGCAGAGCAATAAGAAAAGCTCCCTAACTTAAATGTGTGCAAAGGACAGAAATGGATAGTTCCTAAAAGAAATACAAATAGCTAACAAGCAACAGATGTTTAGTACCTTACTGGTGTGATCAAATGCAAACTAAGCTGGGCATGGTGGTGCACCTATAATCCCAGGTATCTGGGAGGCTGCATTGAGAGGATCCCTTGAACCCAGGAGTTCAAGACCTGCCTGGGCAACAGGGAGAAACCTCATCTCAAAAGAAAATACAAACTAAAACAATGAAAAATTATTTTTGCCCTTCATATTGGCAAATATTTTTAAAGGATAATAGCTAGTGTTCATTTGTGGGAGAGTAAATGAACAACATTTTTGGAGGACAATAAAGGAACATATAACCCTAAAAAAATGTATACTCTTTGATTCAAGTTCACTTCTAGGAATTGTTCCCTTAAAAAAAAAATCAGTCCAAAAAAGATTTATCTACAGGGGCATTTATAAGAGCACTGTTTACAATACTGGGAAAAGAAAAATTAAAACCAAATAATATTCAGTAATAGAGGATTGGTTAAATAAATAATTCCACATCTTTTCATTCTCTATTAGAGAAGGAATTTTGAGAGTAACTTGAACATAACCTATGATAAATGTAAAGGTCATACATAGCAATTAAATTTCTAGAAACATTCAACCCAAAGGAATATTCCCACAAGAACACAAGAATATAGGTACAAGAATGTTCAGTGAAGCATTTTTTTCTAACAGTGAAAAAGTGAGAAACCCTAAGTATCCATCAACAAGGGAATAATTAAGTAAATTATGGCAAGCTGTGAACTCTGCAAGAGCAGGCATTTCGTCTTGTTCTAGGTGCTGTTTATGATAATCTCTCACAAAATGTGTTGCAGAATAAAGGACTACATCTACATTTTAGAAGACCTTTCCACACTATTTGAAAGAATCAAGCAGGTCTTGAGGTGGAAGGGCATCCACAATCGTGATTTATTGCTGAGTGAATAAAGCAAGATGCAGAATAATGACAGTATGATCCCATTTTTGTAAATAAAATGTGTGTGTGTATCTCATAGGCATAGACAAAGGCTGTGAACGATATATACCAAGATGTTAATACTCACTACCCTTAGGAATTAAGGGCAGAGAAGGTGGAGGACTTTCATTTTTCACTCAATGCCACTCCTCTGTACAACTTGAGTTTTGTTTTTCAGTATTTTAGTAGGTACGTTTGAAATTTACATTTGTTTTAAGTCCAAAGTAGAAAGAATGGTGCATCCACAGATGGAATGCCATACAGGTCATGAAAAATCATGCCATGGAAGAGTTAATAACATAGGAAAACATATAATATGCTAAATGAAAAATTTACTGTCACCACACAATAAATAAGTACAGTCTGCCCACCATTTCTATATGGATAATATGCATTAACAAAAGGACAAGAAAATGGATATTCAATGTTAACATGATTATCTCTGAGTAGTGGGGCTATGATAGCTTTTTTCCTCTTTTTCCAAATTTATTATATTAAATGTATTCTGTTTTGAATCAGAAAAAAAATTAGAGACAGGCATTACAGAATAATACATGAATCCTTATAGAAACAAATAATTAAGAGAGACTGTAGCATTAAACAATGTAAAATGAGAACTTCTGATTAAAATAATATAATTATGTATAAAATTTATAAAGCAATAAAATCACCTTGCTGTAATAAGAAATGGCCTCTTTATATTTGTCGATTATGTCTTCAGGGCTAAGACAGTTCTTAGCACGTCCGATTTCAGCACTGGTGTCGGGATTTATGCCATTGGTAGTGAGCGCACCTGCAAACCAAGCAGAAGGAAAGAAATAATCTTTTGCTTTTTCTGTCTTATTTCTTTGTTAGTTTAAAGAGGGACACAAATAAGATAAAACTTAAACATGCCCTACTGAAATTTAAATAATGAAACAGTGTTTAGTCTTCACAGCTTATATACTTCCTATAATAGTCTTACCATCAAAGCATTGTATTAAATGTTAATTAACTCAGAATAAGGTTTCCTCCCTGTTGAAATTTTTTATTAAAGAACATGAAATGCATGACATAAAAGTAACATATTGATAAAAACTAGCTTAGTTGTCTTAAAGACAATGGCAAAGTCAGCATGCATTCTCTCACAGCTTGAAGTTCTTAATGCTAGCAAGGGACCACCATGTGTCTTCGAAGAAGATAAACTATGAAAGCATTTTCTGAACTGTACAACATTAACAAAACAACTTATCAACACAAGTATCCTTTCCCTGGCTGTCATTTTCTATTTCTGACCGACTCCTATCTATAATCTATTAAGTGATTAAGAATCACTTAATTCCCTAGCCACAAAACCCAAACAGGGGAGAGTTTTGGAGAAACTTCCATTTACAGAATATAACTAACTACAAAGAGAACACCGGCAGGGGAAAAAAATGATGAAATATTCTTTAATTTCATAGAACACTCAAAAAAAATATTCTCCTAAACTTCAATCACAAGAAAAGCTGGGATTCTCCTAAGCCTCTTATTTATCTCACAGACAGTAGGCATCTCCCACAAACGCTGTTTCCCTCGTGCCTGCTGGGAAGCTCAGGGACGCCTTTGCTGCCCATCTGTATAACTGCACACAGCCAAGGGCACGCATTTCGCACTGCCCTCAACACTGTGCAAGCTCATTTCTTACCTGTGTTTCCTAATCTTGGTCCAATTTTCTAACCTGCTTATTTTTTATTCTCCAATTCTGTGAGCTGCCTCAAATGCCTTTTGGAATAAGACGGAAGAAGAATAAATAGATAACTGGATAGATCAATGGACAAACAGGCAGAGAAACTCTAAGAAAAGGGGAACAAAGAATTTCATATGCAAAATCCTCTTCTTGTACGGGAAGAAAGAACTATAATAGAGAACTGTGAAGAGGCAGGTGGTTTAGGATTTTGTTTCCTGCAGATTTTGTGAAGATCACAGCAAGAGATGAGAGAGAAGAACTATAAATAATAATAGAAAAGGGCATGCTTGGAAAAAATATCTAAAATATGTACTTTTTAAAGAACAGATTCAAATCCACAAGACCCAGTGACAGAACCTTGGGAATTACAGAATTGAGAATTCCATCTCCAAGCAACAAGACATCCCTTTGGAGGAGTGAGAGTTTACACAGGGTTGCTACAATGCCATCACACCAAAAGCAGCATTTTTCCCACTTAGGGGAAATTGGGCCCTATGCCAAGAACTTCCTTGCGTGTTCTCATCTATAACCCACAGCAACTCTATGAGAGAAGTACTCTTAGTGTACTCCATTTCTGCAAGTGAGGTGACAAGACCCTAAAGAGGAAGTATTCTTATTAGTTCTCAAGATTGCAGAGCTGGTGACTCCAGAGTAGGCGTCAATCTTGGGCCTACGTTCTTAACCACAGTACTGTCGTGCTTTGTGTGTTTGTGCTTCTCATGCTTACAATACATTGTTTGGGGCATAAATTAATATTTAATAAATAACATAGGGTCTTGACTTATTTCATTAGCTCTAACAAATCATCTGTACATTGTTGAGTTTTAGTCTTTTTTTCCATTGGATAAAGGAAAGAAAAGATAACAGGGGGTAAGAATGAGGTGGGCTTTTCACTCTTTGTATGGTACCTCATCCTTTTCAAGAAGTACATGATCAAAGCATTAGGGGGGAAGTCCCCAACCATGGAGAAGGAGCAAATGTTCCCTCCACCTTTTAAAGAGCACCCCTCTAGTCCTGAGGGCTCATCTCCTGATCAACTTAACTCCAATACCAAGGCTAGAGGAAAACATTCTACATGGAGTCACAAAGAACAATATGATCTGTGGGAGGGTAAAAAGAGCACAGCTCATGAGACAGATCAATGAGTCAGACTGATTTAATATCTCTCAAGAAAAGAATAACAAGCTCTAAAAATACTAGTGTACAGTAGATTTGATCTTTCTTGACATCGATAAAGTTTTGACGTCCACACATAACATTACTGTGAACTAGTGAAACAAAGAGTCATCAAGACCCGCAGCCTTTAGATGACAGGCAGGAAAATCAATGTCACAGGCATATAAAAACCCAGACTAGAGGAAAGAAAAAAAGGGGCATAGTTAAGAAGACGTAGGGGGGAAAAGATTGGGAAAAAGACACCATCACAAAGGTTCTCAAGTATCAATCCAACAATAGTGTAATCATTCATTTGAGAAATAGTTACTGAGTTCCTATTATTTGCAAGATTGTATCCAAGGCAAAAACTGGAAACTCAGACAAAACAGAGCAGAAAAAAAGAGGGAATAAAGCAGAGATCAACGAGGCTGGAGATAGAAAAGCAAACCATAAAGAGAAGAACAAAAAGGGCTTAGATAAGGCAAGTACCAGTGTGGCAATAATGACTAACAGGCTAGCACCAGCCTGGGTCACTTGTCTGCTATCCAATTAAAAACCAAAACCAAAAACCCTGACATATGGATACTACTGGCCTTATTTTGCAGAGGAATAGCAGAAAGACAATGCATCCATAGCCTAGATGTTAAACTGGCCAGTGTATGACAAAGTCCTCCAGTGGCAGGACACTGCACCTGAAATGACTGAGGCTAAGATGGACTTTTTAATAATGATCCTGGGACACTCAGATGGCCATTTGGAAAAAGACAAAATCAGCCCCACACCTCACACCAAACACAAAAATAAACTCTAAATGGATCTGGGATCTAAATGTAAAACAGAAAACCATAAAAGAAGTTCAAAAAACATGGGTAAATTCCTCTAAAACCTGGTTAAAAGGCTATCACTGAAATTCAAATGGAATTTTAAAAAACTGATATATTCAATTACATAAACATACAGCAAAAAATACTATAAACAAAGTGAAAACATATATGACAATCTAAGAGAAAACTTTTGCAACACATTTCAAAAGGCTAATATTCCTTATATATAAAGAGGTAATAAAAATTGAAAGAAAAAAACTAAACATCCAATGGGGAAAAAAAAGCAAAAGATGTGAGCAGACAATTCATAAAATAAAAATATAAAAATGGCCCTTAAACATTTAAATAGATGTTCAACTTCACTAATAGTAAGATATACTATTTCTCACATATCTAGTTGGCAAAATTTTAAAAGCTTGACAACATACCATGTTGGCGAACCTATGGATAAAGCACTCTGTTGCACTGCTACTGTGAATGTAAAATGGTGCAACCTTTAAGAATTTGGCAAAATATTTCTACCTTTTGGGAGCATAGGGAAAAAATAATTTGGTAAAATCTAATAAAACTATGTTATATGTTTACCTTTGACTTCTAGGAATTTATGCTGAAGATATACCCTCAACAATACAAAAATACACATCTACAAGATTATTTACTGTTGCATTAGTTGTAATTGCCAAATATCAGAAACAACCAAAATGTGCATACATAGAATACAGGTAAAATAAAATATGGTATGTGCACACAGTGTGCTCTGCAGCTGTGAAAATAAACAAGGAAGATCTCCATAAGCTGATGTTAGCAACGAAAACAAAAAGCCAAGTACAAAAGAATATACATAATATCCTACCTGTTGCACAAGAAAGAGAAATAAGAACAACTAAGAACATTAATCTGGTTGAAGGAGAAACTAGAACAAATGAACTTGGTTACCTATAACGGCAGATGGAAATGAGGTGGGAAGAACAAGAGAGGAAATGGCACTTCTCTGGATATACCTTTTATGTAGTTTTGACTTCTGGAACCACGTTGACGCCTTACATAGTTTAAAAAAAATCAATAAAGATGGGGTAACTCATTAATGGAACACAACCAGAAACCAAGAACTACATTTCAAATAAAGAACATAGGCACATTGTCAAGAAGCATTAAAGAACAAATCTGAGTAACTTCTAATTACAGCACCTGTGTATTTATCCACAAGACAAAAGAACCACAAACAATTTTTGAATTCTCTTTGTAGAGGTTTGTTTTTACAGTTTTATTACTTAGCAATTCCAAAACCACTTTCTACATATTGTAGGCCTGATAAAATGAATAAACATATTGATGATATTGGGAGTCAGATTTCTCACTGTTGGAGAAGGAAAATGTAAACATCAAACAGGGGAAGACTAAAAAGAACCCTGGAATTTGGGTTGGAATTGGAGAAATCAGTATGAAGTTTAGATAACAGTAGAACTTCTCAAAGGGCCTAAAATCAATGAACCTCAGTAGCAATGAACATGTTTACTGCCCAGATCTTGATTTCTAGATAGCATTCTCCAACAAAATAAATTAAAACTCCTTGGAGAAATGTTTGCTTCCAGAGCCAAGACAGAGAAAGTACAAAATGAACCTAAAATATCTTCAGCCAGAAAGCAGTGTTCAAAAAAATTATTGGGGAACATGTCAAAAGGATACAAGAGCCAGCTTGAAGGGCTTCCATTGGCCAAATCTTGCAAATGAGCTAAAAAATAAAGAATGATAGCAACGCATTAGAACCCACTGAAAAAAATAATTATCCGTAAGTCCACAATAATAATGGATGGATAGAAGGAAGCACAGAGAAAAGAAAAGAAAGCTCCTCCTTATATTAGAAAGCTAACTAATAAATGTGTAAGGAATGATGAAGTTTGAAAATCACCATTTGGCAGCCATCGAAGTAGTAATAACTGACTCAGGTAAAATTCTTCACTGAATGTCAGAACTAGTGGGTAAAAGTTTGTGAGGAACAAGATATTTACACAGTGTCAAAGTATTTTCCCACTAATTACTTATTCATTACATAGAGAAAAATAGTAACTTTTTTTTTTTTTTTTTTTGAGACAGAGTCTCACTCTG